GAGGGAGGGAGGGAGGGAGGGGGAGATATATATATATATATATATGTGTGTGTGTGTGTATATGTATATGTGTGTGTGTGTGTATATGTATATGTGTGTGTGTGTGTATATGTATATGTGTGTGTGTGTATATGTATATGTGTGTGTATATGTATATATATGAAAGAATGGTTGTCTTGTTTGTCTGTTACCCTGGACTGGAGACCTGTCCAGGTGTCCCTGTGATGGACTGGAGACCTGTCTAGGGTGTACCCCGCTTCACACACAGTAATAGCTGGACATGGGCACCAGGTACCCTCGCGACTCAGAGGAAGAAGAAACATGGTGGATCACATAATGGATGGATGAAATTTAGAATGATAGTCACTGAGAGTGATCCTCAACACATACTCTGAGCTGTATCATATCTGGCAAAATCTCACATCGTTGCATGAGATCATCCATGACTAAATTTACAAGGTTTGATCAAAAATACTATAACTGAACATATGAGGGTCTTGGTCTAAAACTGACATAACAGACAATGCATTCCTTTGAAGAATGCATGGTCTTTAAATATGTTTAAAGACATATAAAGTTTTATATGTTGGTATTACACTTTTTTAAGACTTATTTTTAAATTTTATTCTCAGGTGCAGAGAGGCCAACCAAAAAAACATTCATGTACAATGCTGCTCCATCACCTAAAGGTAAATGGACACTTTTGTTATTTTTACTTTATATTTTTCCTCCGCCAGCTAAAAAGAAAAACAAAAATTTTGCATTTTTGTTTTTCTTTTTAGCTGTAAATATGTTGCATCAAGCACTAAAAACACCATCAAACTCATACTTGTAATATAATTTAATTTAAAGTTGTGCTACAGACATTTTGTTCTGGCCAAAACTTGAATGATGAATTGATGTGAGAACTCACAAGCAATTTTATCCAAAGACTTCAGCACACAGAGAACCTTTGGGAAAGTATAATACCAAAACATTTGTGAAATATGGCCATTTAAATTGTCTGTAATGATATTTACTGCACTCGGTCTACGTTTTATTGGAACATATTGTGGGAAATGAAACATGAGAAGAAAATTATTCTGCTCATTGACCAGAGTTTCTTAAATGGAAATGAAATATAAACACCCTGGGGAGTTGGTCATAACTGCTATTAAATTTGTCGGCAAGTTACTGGAATATTTGAACTCAGAGCATAAAAATTTTTCTAATTTTTAAAAGAACAAAGAAAACTCGCTCTGTCTCATCAATTTTTATACATTGTAAGCCAAGACAGTTTCATTTTGTTTTTATTCAAGTTATTCATTCATTCATAAATGCTCATCTTTGTCATATGCTCTAATTGTTTAACTTTAGGTGGGTTGTGTAGTTCTAACTATTCTCAATAGAAAATATCAACTTAAGCTTTGCCTTCACAAAATATATTTAAGTCACTGAAACAACTTGAGAAATTGGATTTTCTATGAAAATGCTGAGCTGAAGGAGTTTGCTGAAATTTGCTGAAAAGGCTGAAACTGGGTAGGAAAAGTGAAAAGATGCAAAAACACTTAAAGCTGAACTAATCAGAACACTCACTGAAAGCTAGAATCAGAATACTAGCTTTTAGCTAGTAGCTAATTTGTAGCTAGAACTTTAAGAAGCAACAGCTACTGGAAAGCTAAAAGCAGACAAAGTGTTGGCTAAAAGCTAAAGTGACGTCTGTTCACATCTGCCTTCAACACCATGATCCCCCAAACCCTGATGGACAAACTACTCACACTAGGACTAAGCCCCTCCATTTGCAACTGGGTCCAGGACTTAACATACAGACCACAGTTAGTGAGGATCCACAACCTCTCCTCCTCCACCATAACCCTCAGCACTGGCTCTCCTCAGGGATGTGTGTTGAGCCCCCTCCTGTTTACTCTGCTCACGTATGATTGTGCAGCTACCCATCCAGGCTGTCACATTGTAAAGTTTGCAGATGATACAGCGGTGGTGGGATGCATCAAAAATAACGATGAGTCCAGCTACAGGCAGGAGGTGGAACACCTGGAGAGCTGGTGCAAAGAGAATAACCTTCACATCAATGTGAAGAAGATGAAGGAGATGGTTGTGGACTTCAGAAGGAACAAACACACCTACACCCCCTCCCCTCCTCAACTTAGGAGGATCTGTGGTGGAAGTGGTCTCCAGCTACAAGTACTTGGGTGTGCACCTGAACAACAACCTCAGCTGGAGCAACAACACCACCAGCCTGATCAAGAAAGATCATCAGAGACTCTACTTCCTCAGACGGCTGAGGCGAGCTGGTCTGGAAGCTCAGTCCTCACCTCCTTCTACAGGTGTGCAGTGGAGAGCATCCTGTGCTCCAGCATCAACGTGTGGCATGGAGGCTGCACAGCTGCAGAAAGAAAAGCTTTGCAGAGAGTGGTGAAGGCTGCACAGAAGATGTTGGAGTCAGTCTCCCCACCATCACAGACATCTACTCCTCCAGATGCAGGAAGAGGACCACCTGCATCATGAAGGACCCCACTCACCCAGCAATGTCAATGTTAATTTATTTATATAGCACATAAAAACAACAAAAGCTGACCAAAGTGCTTTACAGTTAAGACAGATTAAAAAAAAGAGTAAAAATGCATCTAGTGCCACTCAAAAACATAAGTTGACAGTAAAAACAACTCACAACAACAATGAAATCAGCTCAACTTGTTCTCAGACTCTGCGTGGATGAAATGCCAAGGAATACAGATGAGTCTTGAGCAAAGATTTAAAAGTCTCAACAGTCTGAGCGGTCTTTAAATTCTCAGGTAAACTGTTCCACAGTTTTGGAGCAGCAACCGCAAAAGCCCGATCACCTCTGGATTTCAGTTTGGATCTGGGGACATCTAAGAGGAACTGGTTGGTAGACCGGAGTGCTCTTACTGGAGTGTAAATGTTAATGAGATCACATTACACACACAGCACACACATAAGGTGTAGAACCACTAGACTGAGGAACAGCTTCTACCCTGAGGCTGTTAGATTCATGAATATCTAACCAGGATAATCACTGTGAAGAAAATCACTGTAATGCCACTTTTATTGTTATGTGCTGCTGATTATCCATGCTGCTGATCTCATGTCGCTGATTTATTTCATGATGTTGTATTCATTTGTACTCATCTGCTCACACAGACTCATGTTCGTGCTGCTGTTTGGCGTATTGTTTTTATGCTATTTAGTGCTTAGGGTGTATTTAGTTACCGTTGTTCTTAGTTCTTTACAATTTATACTATTGTTGGATGTAACTGTGACTCTGTGTACACAATTTCATTCTACCTCATGTACCACATGAGGTGCATATATGACAAAGAAACTTTGACAAATGCTAGCTAAAGATTAAGTGCAGCAGAGCAGTAGCCATTTTTTTTTTTTTTTTTTTATAATTAGCAAAATGCTAGCTAAAAGTAGCAGAACACTAACGGGTAAAAACTGAATAAGCAGTTTTAAAAAAGAGCAATGTTTTTGAAAGAACTTATTAGATTTTATGTATTTGTATGAGGAAAATATTTTTAACCTTTTTTTAATATTTTTTACCTTAAGAAAATTATAAGTTGGCACTCGTCACCTGAATGCACTGAATGTCATAAATACAATATACATTATGCACGATATATAACTAAATGGCTAATATAGCACAAAGTTTTGCAGAAGCAGTTAGACTGCAAGAAAAGTTTATAAAATAAAAATGTTACCACACTAAAAAATTATAATTCAAGCAATTTCAGATACACAAAATACAAACCAGATTCCAAAAAAGTTGGGACACTAAACAAATTGTGAATAAAAACTGAATGCAATGATGTGGAGGTGCCAACATCTAATATTTTATTCAGAATAGAACACAAATCACAGATCAAAAGTTTAAACTGAGAGAATGTTTCATTTTAAGGGAAAAATCTGTTGTTTCCAAATTTCATGGCGTCAACAAATCCCAAAAAAGTTGGGACAAGTCCATTTTTACCACTGTGGGGCATCCCCCCTTCTTCTTCCAACACTCAACAGACGTCTGGGGACAGAGGAGACCAGTTTCTCCAGTTTAGAAATAGGAATGCTCTCCCATTCATGTCTAATACAGGCCTCTAACTGTTCAATCGTCTTGGGCCTTCTTTGTCGCACCTTCCTCTTTATGATGCGCCAAATGTTCTCTATAGGTGAAAGATCTGGACTGCAGGCTGGCCATTCCAGTACCCGGATCCTTCTCCTATGTAGCCATGATGTTGTGATTGCTGCAGAATGTGGTCTGGCGTTATCGTGTTGAAAAATGCAGGGTCTTCCCTGAAAGAGATGACGTCTAGATGGGAGCACATGTTGTTCTAGAACCTGAACATAGTTCTCTGCATTAATGGTGCCTTTCCAGACATGCAAGCTGCCCATGCCACAAGCGCTCATGCAACCCCATACCAACAGTGATGCAGGCTTCTGAACGGAGCGTTGATAACAACTTGGGCTATCCTTGTCCTCTCTGGTCCGGATGACATGGCGTCCCAGTGTTCCATAAAGAACTTCAAATCGTGACTCATCTGACCACAGAACAGTCTTCCATTTTGCCACACTCCATTTTAAATGACCCCTGGCCCAGTGCAAACGTCTGAGCTTGTGGAGCTTGCTTAGAAATGGCTTCCTCTTTGCACTGTAGAGTTTCAGCTGGCAATGGCGGATGGCACGGTGGATTGTGTTCACTGACGATGCTTTCTGGAAGTATTCCTGAGCCCATTCTGTTATTTCCTTGACAGTGGCATTCCTGTTTGAGGTGCAGTGACGTTTAAGGGCCCGAAGATCACGAGAATCCAGTAGAGTTTTACAGCCTTGACCTTTACGCACAGCGATTGTTCCAGATTCTCTGAATCTTTTGATGATGTTATGCACGATTGATGATGATAACTTAAAAGTCTTTGCTATTTTACGCTGGGTAACACCATTCTGGTATTGCTGCACTATCTTTCTGTGCAACAATGGTGGAATTGGTGATCCTCTTACCATCTTGGCTTCTGAGAGACACTGACACTCTGAAAAGCTCTTTTTATACCCAATCAATTGACCTAATTAGTGTTAATTGGTCTTCCAGCTGTTCGTTATATTCTCAGTTTCCTTTTTCCAGCCACTTATTGCTACTTGTCCAAACTTTTTTGGGATTTGTTGACACTGTGAAATTTTGAATCAACATATTTTTCCTTTAAAATGTTACATTTACTCAGATTAAACTTTTGATCTGTCATCTATGTTACATTACGAATAAAATATTGACATTTGCCACCTCCACATCATTGCATTCAGTTTTTATTCACAATTGGTTTTAGTTTTCTACATTTGTCTTGGAATCTAGCTGTTTTTTGTTTTGTTACCTTTTTCCTTTTAGCCATCCTATTTGTTTAAAAAAAAAAAAAAAAACTGTAGTATGAGTTTTTATAACTGCTTATTGTTGTTGCTGTTGTCCATTGTTGTCATCTTTCTTTGTTGAAACCAGGTCTCTCTTGTAAATGAGTCCTCGAGGCTCAATGGGATTTACCTGTAGAAATAAAGGTTGATTGATTGTTCCAACTTTTTTGGAATCCGGTTTGTAATATAAGTGAGCTACACTGTAGGTGTTTTACACTTAAATGTTTGGTTCAAAAATACTTTGACACATTATGAAGCGGGGGTTGAACCACCAACCTTTGGATAA